CAACTAATAGACATTAAAGCATTACAGTGATGTACTGATCCTCAAGAATCTATAATGCAACAAGTGAAAGTGGAGACACAGAGTGGAGACACTGGAATGTACTGGTGTGCTGGTGTGCTGTGGAGATCGAGGGAATATTTCAGCCAGATGTTAAAGAAGACTTTTACATCACAGTGAAATCAGGTATTGGATTGTAAATCCACATGTTGACAATTTGTTTATCACAGAATTTATGCTGTTTCTTTGATCATAGTTCATCCTGGCATCATTACCGAATTGTCTGTCTTTGTGTCCAGATCCTGATCTGTCTGTAGTGGAGAGCAGAGTGAGTGGTCAGGAAGGGGCCAGTGTCAGTGTCCAGTGTCTCTACAGTGCTTGATATCAGAATGAACAGAAACAGCTGTGCAGATCTAAACCCTGGAGCTGCTACACAGTGGGGAGGACTGACACATCCCAGAATTCAGCAGTGCAGATCAGGGATGATGGGAGAAGATCCTTCAGTGTGGAGATGAGTGGACTGCAGAAGAGTGATGCTGGCTGGTACTGGTGTAAAACTGGAGATCTGCAGGTTCCTGTTCACCTCAGTGTCAGTGATGCTCTGCCAGGTACGATAACAAGCACTGGTATTTGATTTCTTGAACTGAATAAGTGAACACAATTGTAATGCAATGCTTAACATTTGACAAGAAACAGTAAAGTGTTAATCAAGAAACCAACCTGATCTACTAAACGTTAGTAAGCAATGTTTAAATGTATTAAATGTAAATGTGTAAGTTTTAAAGGTAGAAGAGCATTTTACAGCCTTTGAATTCTCAATGAAGTTTCTAAACAAGCACTCAGTCACTCATTTTAAATATAGAGTTGCTAGATTTCAGCAGTGTCAAAATCAGACAGCCCTGACTGGGGGAGGGGGAGCGTGTTTTAGAACAGTTCCATAATTTCCTGGTTTATTTAGTTTGTTTTTACATTTTGCTTCATACATGGAGAAAATGCACAAATAAAACATGATCATCAGGGGTTAAACTCATTTAGTTCTGTATAATAATACATTTTCCAGGCCACTGTTTGTTCTGCCACTGTGTAACACAAATAAAACCCCATGAAACCAACCCTACTGATCGCACTACTGATGGTATACATGATATATATGGAATATGCAGTTTTACATGCAGCTGCAGAGCATGGTTGCCCTGCAACTGAATCTCCCCACATCAGCCTATAACCAAAAGAAGCATCATGAGAGCAAGCCAGAGAGAGAGAGAGTGAGAGAGAGACAGAATAACAGCATTAGTACAACATTATATCTTCTTCCTCTGATGGAATGTAATGAGATTTGGTCAATTCAAATGTGTACATCATTTCCACATGAATAAAATCATGAGTTTGGCCATGGCAGTCAAAACTGTAATATGTTGAATTCATACGGAGATAAAATCATGTCAATTCAATGCTCACAATGTATGATGTATTTTCAAAGTAAAATCTCTTCATGAGTCTAAATGGGTCTATCGGACTCTGTCTGTGTACTGAGTTTTACTTTTGCAGAGTTGCTTCATAGTAAATCCAGCTTTCTCTGAAGAGGAAAGATTAAATGCTGACAGAGTCACACCATTTCATTGTGCTACTAACATCAGCTTGTTCCTTTATCCAACAGCGGCAAAGGCTGTGACTACAGTTTCTGCCACAGAGGAAACCAGCATCAGTGAGACCACTCCAGGTACGACCACAATCAGTCTATTAAAGCTGCACTTATGTACAAGTATGTGTGCTTATTATACTTATTTTCACAATCAACAAAACATGTCATTTGACTGAGGCAACCAAATTTTTTGCATAAAACTGTATTTTTATTTTTTGTATTTATATTCCAAACCTGCAGTAGCTACACACCGTTTACATTAACGCTGCTTTCTGAAGAGAAGTTAATTGCTTCCCTCTCCAACTGGCTGCTTTAGGGGTGTGTCACTGCAGGAGTTGGAGGCTGTATGTGTGGATTTAAGCAGGATTACATTGCTTTAAAAACTTCACATTTTCAGCCAATGTAATTTCCTCACACTCCCATCCATTTTTTTCAACCACTATAATAATTTTCCATGTGTTTTTTATTTTGCATGTAGGCTGACTATGGGCGTAACAAAAGCAGGCTCTGCTTTTTATCAGCAATCTGATAGGTCAATGCTCAGCTCATTTGCGTGAAGTTAATGAGAGAGCAGAGACAGCAGAGTGTGTAAAACATGTGCATGTATGTAATGTCGTCTCTCACCACAATCTAGTTACGATACGTTTTGTTTTACGTAAATGACCCAAACATTTTAAATGACAGAGAGGACCAGATTCATAAAAAAGTTGGTAACAGCGCTGCGCCACGCAAAATGTGCAGAATGGCAAACATGAGTTATTCATAAAGTCATTGTGGTGATGATTTTAATGCTGTGTAATTTTCATGTGTGTCCTGGGCAAGAAACAATGAAAGTACCATATAAAATGAGGTTATACATATTAAAGACTCATGCCCAGTGAAGCTCCAGTTGGCTGCCAGAATGAAAAAGATGAAAACAAAGAAATAAAGAAAAACTAAATTCTCAGAAACTCAGAGCTACAAATTTTAAGGAAGAAATGCTGACAAATAATAGTAAATTGTTTGGTAAATATTCTTTTAAGTTTCAATCAAGAAACAGTTTTCCAAAAGTTTATCAAAATTGTAGTAAAGAATGTATTAAAAAGTTGAATTATAACATGTTATAGAGAATAAAAATAAAATGTGAAAACCTTTATTTTTAGGAATCATATTTTAGCATACAAGATTTCATTTCTCATTGGTAATAATTCAAGCCTTTTTCCAATATATTATAATTGCAGTAACAAATTTTACTGCTAAAAAAAAAATGAACATGCTGCAATTTTACTGTGGCATTTTAACTTTTGTCCTATTTTTATTGATCTCAGGAATTCAATTTACCCATGTGAAAACAAAATTTCTACTTGTAAATATTTAATTCTTGATATCAGAAAACGTTAAAATCTAACTAAAATTTAACTACTAAATATAAAATTCCAGCAAGTAAAAATACAGTTTTCACTTGTAAGAAATGAATGTTAACTAGTAAAAATGTCAATTTCACATGTATGAACTGAATTTCTTTGTAAAATCTGTAAATTGTTGGATGATTTAGTTCTGGATCACAAATGTCACCTTAACTCACTTAAAGGTTTCTGATGGAGCTCCATCACTCCAGAGAACTCTGCACAACACAACTGCTCCACAACCCAATGCTGGGGGGCTTTTTACCCCTCTAGCCCACGCTTGGCGTTATGCATGATGACTCGTGTCCAGCTGCTCCAGAATGTCTCATTCTATTTGTCATTGATTTTATATGGAGTTTATACAACTGTGCGTGTGTTTCAGCTCCTGTGTCAGCAGTGGATGCACCTTAATGCAGCTGAATTCACTGATATTAAGGGGGGGTCCACAAACTTTTGGACATATAGTGTATCTGCTCTTCACAGCGTCTTTTGTGAATGTGGCCTATAGTATCTAGCATGATGTCACCGTGTATGCTGCTTAAATGCTGCTAAAAATGCACCCTCAATCCTCAACCTTCCTCCCCTGGAGCTTATTTATGCATGCATGAGCCTATGCTGTATGCATTTGAGTCTATGGACCATGGAATTCAGACAAAAGAGAAACATCTGGAATCGCATGGATGTAACAGATACCTAAATAAATCATGGGCTATTCCAGTTATTTTATTAACTCTTAAATGTTTTCCTGAAATCTATAAACAGTAAAACCATGAAGAGCTGACAGTTGTGTAAGACCTCATTAGAAATGATTAGTGTAAACCTTGTAATTCGCTTTGTAAGTAGCATTTCAATGTCTGACTAGATGTCACCACAATGAAAATGTCCACTTGCATCCCTATGGGAATTTCATTAGCAGTAAGCTAGCAATGTTCTATTCAATTCAACTCACATCCAATTTTATTTGTATCACGCTTTTTACAAATGCCAGTGTCACAAAGCGGTTATAGCAAACACTGGATAGCAAAACAGTAAGAGTTATTTTATAGTGAATAAGGTGATAACTAATGAATTTACAGTGATGTTTAATGACAAAATAAGAAACACAGTGATGAAAGGGCAGAAATTATCTTGAACTTGGACATGTGATGTTTGTAACTTGCACACAAGTAACATATTTTATATTTGTAGACAGAGCTGGCACCTCTTAATTTCCATCTACAGGTTGAGGAATTGAGGGATATAACATTGCTGTATGATCACTGACATTAACTTGCTGTAAATAATATGTGGCAAATTCTGGTGTCATTGTTTCCAAATACTGATGTGAAATAAAAAAAACAAAGAGTATAAATAACTGCCAATAACGTTATTTGTATGTCTGTTGCTCATTTACACTCTCACTGTGAAGTTACACTAGTTAGCTTATCAGCTAGCTAATATTAGGGATTGTCTTACAACTCATGAGGTCTGATATGAGTGATCTGGTCATCTTTTCACGTTATATGTTAGTCTCTGGGTTACAGAAGCAGCAGTGCCTCCCTCAGGTCACCTCCTGCTATCAGTATATAGTGAAAGAGAATGAACAATAAATGATTTGAATTAGTAGTGTACATTTATTTGAGAAGGGTGGGCTGAACCACATTTACAGGCAGGGGAAGCCCTAAAGCTGGCCTAGTGATGCCCCTGGTCATTACAACTAGTGATGCTGTAATTACACCTAATGGATGAAAATGGAGTTCACCTTTAAATGAATCGAGTCAAGTAATGCATATAATTAACACCTCTGCTTTGTCCTTCTAGGTTCTGCAATTGTTACTACAGATACAGAATCAGCAACAGATCTGTGAGTAGCTCACTTCTGCAAGTGGTTTTAGTCTATAATTAGAGATTAATTTTCACACTTCATCACCCCCAGCCCCCCCGCTGTTTGCTTCCTGCAGAAGAACAACTGGCTCATCTTCAGTAATGACTTCTGAGAATGTGAAAAGCAGCACAGGAAAGAGTGGGGGAGAGCAAAATAGGTATGTTCTGAAATGCTGATGAACTGAATTTTTATTGATTCTGCTGAAATGGTGATTTTATTAGTCAACAGCATGTGTACTCTGAGGCCTTGATTTACTAAGATCCAAAATAAGTAGTACTAATTTGCAAATGCAGCGCAGTTCATTGTGTAAGCAGTTAGTGCGCATTTTTGCACGTGACTTCTAGATGATAATCATGCAGATGACAACAAAGAGGTGGTGAAAACATTGTATGTAAACAAAGCTTTTGAATGTGCAGGCTGTGGCAAGGTTGGATGTCAAAGAGTTCCAGCTGAAGTATAAGTTTAAAAAGAGGTATAGCAAAAAACTTAACAGAGACTGGTAAGGTGAAAAAAGAATAAATAAACAAAAAAATAAATGATAAAACTTGGAGGGACAAGATCAGAACTATTCAGTTGCAGGACGAGGTTAATTCAGTTTAGTTCATTAATTACCCTGATTATATGAAAAGAACAAAACAATGGATGTAATGAAACTAAAAATGGGTCATCACTGGATCTTCTAGCGAGAAAGTATTTTAAAACGTATGTCCAGATCAACACAAAAAATGGTTTAATAAACCTGTGGGGTGAGTTAAAGAGGAGAGTGCACAGGAGAGGACCAAGTATCCTGGACGATCTGGACAGATTCTGTAAAGAGCAATGGTCTTAAATTCCCTGCCCTTGCCATCTCCAATTTTCTAAGATGTTAGAGGAGAAGACTAAGTGCTGTTTTATCGGCAAAAGCAGATTGTACAAATTATTAAATGCACTTAAATTCAGTGAGTCCAGCAAATATTAGCAGTGCTAACTTACTCATACCATGTGTTTTCATTCACTGCAGGAATAGAGAGATCCTGTTGGTCTGGGTTCTACTGGCTGTAGGTCTTGAACTGCTGCTGATTCTGGTCAGCATTATAATCTGTGTGTTGAGAAAAAAGTTCAGTAAGTAGTTTTATTGACTTGAAGGGCTTTTAAAGGTGTTTTTAAATCTGCTTTTAAAATGCTTATATTAAAACATCTTGGACAATGAAAAACCTCAGCTTTTGGAACATACATGGTACAGAAACCAGACAGCACAATCACAGGGTTAAAGAGCTTATTTAATGACTATTAAAGTGCACATACCATGGAAAATTGTCTTTTCCTTGCTGTTTTAAGAACAAAGAGGTTGATGTAGTATGTACACATTTTTAGAGTTTTAAAACACACTGTTCACTTCCCAGTCTATATAGTCCATATTTGGAATCTAAGCCAATGTAAAATGGTCATGTAAAAATGAATTATGACTGTTTTTGTACATAAAACCACAGAAATGTTACAAGCGGCCCTCATAGGAAAATCTGAAAAGTAAGCAAAATGTAAGATATGGGCCTTTTCATGTGTATTGTGAATTTGTGGTATTAAATAACTTACATGAAAACAACTAATTCACAAACAATGACTAATCTGTATCATGTGCTTTACTCACTCTCTCTCTCTAACAGAAAAAGGTCAGATGGAGACCAGAGAGAGGCGCAATAACACTGCAGTTCAGACGGTTAGTATTGTGGTTAATGGGAGGCATCATGCAGTCTGGTTAAGTATTGCTTTCAGTGTTGCTTGGTGTTTGGAGACAGAAGTTAGTGTGATGGTGTCACACACTCTCAAAAATAAAGGTATCAAAAGGCCATAGAAGAACAATTTTGTTTCCTTTCACATGGACAGTTCTTTCGAGAACCAAACAGTGTTGTTCACACTGACAAATCTCTGTTTCAGTAGTGCTTCTTCAGTGGTGTCACACAAAGAACTCTTTGTGGCTCCTCTTTTTTCAGAGTACATTTGTAGTTTTGAACGTTCATTTTTGTTTTGCATTTTTTTTGTAAAGATTAGAATTTTTATATTAATCTAGTTTTAAACTTTAAATGAAAAATTACTGTGTGTGTGTGTGCGTGTGTGTGTGTGTGTGTGTGGGTGTGTGTGTGTGTGTGTGTGTGTGTGTGTGGTTGTGGAAAAAGTCCTCTACTGGTGAAGTGACATACAGTACAAAGAAAAAGGTAGGACTTTCTTCTCAAGACTAATTTGTATATAAATAATCACCTTAGCATTCAGTTGTTATTATTATTGAGTTACTCAGAATAAATTATGTCCACAGCCTTCATCTGCACTGGATCAGGAAAATGGTGTGATCTACAGCTCTGTAGTCACAGCTATGAAAAACGACACTGTAAGTGAACTTCTAAAAATACAGTAACAGTTCATTGTTTTAACCATGACATAAAGCTGGTTTAAAGCTGCAAGTGATTATGATAAATATTTAGTTCAGATAGAAGTTCCTCAGCCTTAGTGAGCATTTAGTGTAGCTGGAGAAAGAGCACTCAGGGTGGTTGGAATCAGAGATCCTTCTTTATTTCTAAAGCTGTTCCATTTTCCAGCTCTCTCCAGCAGGTGGAGATGATGGGGTGATCTACAACTCTGTGGTCAGTAATTAAGAGGTGAGAGTCTCAGACTGAGGTAGTGAGTTTACTGAAAGGCAAACCTGAGTTGATGTAAACTTTTATTCAAGAAGAAATGATCAAGTTTTTTACTTGTTTTGTTTTTTCTATTTCAGCAAGTTACTTAATTTCTCTGTTATGTCTTGATTGCAGGTGTAAGCAGATGAATTTCTGGACAAAATACCTGAGCAGAGAGGACACTGTAATACAAGTGACCTGATAAATGGATATAGACTATAGATTATGTGGCATGTTCATGTTTTCTTTTCTTTAGTCACATTATTTATGCCATTTGAATCCACAACATTTAATGGCTTGTATTAGAGCTGCTAATAAATGTTCTTCTAGCGTAAAGCTGTAAGTTTTGGTGGTTTTAAGACCTCTCTGGCAGAAATGTGTAATTGCACAAGTGCAGGAGCAGTTTGTAAGGTTCCTTGTGCTTATTACCAAATAAAATTTGTGTTGACATCAAACATTATACGTGAGCCTTTAGTTATGAAGAAAGTGAGATCATTGGAATTCCCTTTTAAACCATGGCAGGATCCATGTGCCTCCTGGTGTCCTGATTGTGAACTACATCAGTCATAGTAAACCTCTGGTTTAAGCTGATTTCATATTTATAGTAGCCCTTCAAAATTATTGGCAAAATGTGAGCAGAAATGTCCACAAACTGATGTCTGTGTTGTATATTAGCTTGATTTTGCAGAAATAATACACAGTACATTAAAAGAAATTCCATTCCAAAAATTCATGTCCCACAGTTAATATTCATTTCTCAATGTCAATTATTGGAAATCCTAGGAATTATCATGAATAAAATCTATTCTACATATTTTTCTGTTCTGTTGTAGTATAGACTAAACAATATTGATTACTATAGTTATGCAGATGATATACAGATATTTCTGGCCTTCATAACAGATGAATACAGTCAAGTAGACTCACTGTATCAATTTATGGAGCACAAATACAAACCACATTTCTGGAGTTGGACGTTTTGTAAAATGCAATAAAAACAAGAATCTGATTTGTTCATTTTCTTGAACAATTATTTAACTGAAAAAAAAAGTACAATGAAAAGTTTTCCAGTGTTCTCACTGACCAACCTATTATATTTACAAATTTAGAATTAGATGCCTGTAACACACTTAAAGTTGGGACAGAGGCATGTTTACCATTGTGTGAAATCAACTTGATTTTAAATACACTTTTTAATCTTTTTAGAACTGAGGACACTAATTGTTTCAGTTGTTCTGTAGGCTGGCCAGTGAAGCGCACACACTCTGTATCTATGAAACCATGCACATGCAGGGATGTCCCATCTTGATTGGAGCATATCTCTAAAATCCTCCGTGTGACTGGTATCTTCAAATCAAAGTCACCCATGCTGTGGGCACTGATGTACTCCATACCATAACAGATGTTGGCTTTTTCACCTTTTGCTGATAAAAGTCTGGATGGTCCCTTTTGTCTTTAGACAACTCAATGAACTCATTCCCAAAAACAAGCTAAAAAGGACTCTGATCACAGCACACATTTTCATTGTCTTTTGGACCACCTGATATGATGTCAGGCCCAGAGAACTCAGGGGTGTTTCTGCATAGAATTGATGTATGGATTTCTTCTTGCATGATAGAGTTTCAACTTGCATTTCTTGATGCAGCGCCAGACTGTGTTATGTGACTGGGTTTCCGAAGTACTCCTGTGCCCATGCGACTGTATTGAACACAGTAGCATGATGGTTTCTTATGCAGTGCCATCCGAGGGCCTAAAGGTCACACATGTTCAACAGTGGTTTCCAGCCTTGCACCTATGCAGACTAAGATTTCTACAGATTCCCTAAATCTTTTTACAATATGTCTACAGTAGTTGATGAAAGTCCTAATCTTGCATTGAGAAATGTTCTTGTTGAACTGTTTGGCAATTCTTTCACAAAGTTTTTCACAAAGTGATGAGCCATGACCCATCGTTGCTTGCAAAAGACCCATTCTTTAGTGAAAGCTCCTTTTATACTATGATACCCTCACCTGTTACCAATTCACCTGCTTGTTTCAAAACAGTGTAACTTGAATATTCTATAAACTTGTCACTCTTATTTCGCCCCTTTTTGAGTCTGTTGCAGGCATCTAATTTAAAATTTGTTTACATTTACAAAATACAATCAACTTGGTCCACGAAAACACTGGCAATCTTTCCTTTGTACATTTACCAGTTAAATGAAGTTTCAAGAGAATTAACAAATCACAGATTCTTGTTTTTATTACATTTTACAAAATGTCCAAACTTTTCAGGAAATGTGGTTTGTATGTGGTTCTGATAAAATAGCTAATAAGTGTAGTTTACAAGATACGTGTACCTTAAGTGTACACTGAATTGAAAAAATGTCAGCATAACTGAATCCAACAACGGAAAACAAACAATTTCTTTTTTCTAGTAAAGTGCTTTGTTCTTGTTCATATGCTCTGTTTTCTGACTTTAAGAAAGATAAACAGTTAACAAAAGGATCAAAATGTTATTGTTACTGTTATAATGACAAGATCAGCAAACTATTTACAATTACAACAAAATGATGATGCAACTGTGTCTCCATTCATTTCACCAACAAAGTGTAAATGGGAATAAAATGTTTAAACACACCTGCTGTTTCGTCTTATATGACCCGTATTCTGGGCTTCATAGTCAAAAGGAATGCATGCTGTAGAGCAGAGGTGTCAAATACAACCAGTAAAAGGGCCATATTAAAAAATCTATGATTTTTATTAATGCTGGCTATAATCTGAACTGGCCACTGTGTATTTAAAATATGCAAAAACTTCAGCAGTAAAATACAGACACTTGCAATAGATCTTGAAATATTACATGAACACTTGAAATATTCAAAAGGTGCTTGGACTTTTAAACTTACCTATTTGCTTTAACTAGACACCAGGCATCCTTTCTGCAAGATCTTTGCTCGGGGCTGTACTTAGTCAGCAGATGGAGGGTGTGAGTGATTGCCTTTTTCAGTCAGGCATTAAGCTGCCAAGAGAGGAACTACTGTGTCACACGACAGGAGCTCTCAGACACTTCTACTCCTACCTGTAGGGTCAAAAGTTTACGCTGAGGACGGACCACTCTTCGCAAAAGAGGCTGGTGAGTTAAAAGGAACCAGAGGGCCAGCTAGCCGGGTAGCTGGAAGAGCTGCAGTCATCCCAGTTCGATACAGTGCACATGGTAGGGGTGCCTGGACAGCCAGTCTGCATTGGCACCAGAGACATGCAGGAACGGTGCAGGAAACGTGCCATCAGCGAACAGTAGGAGCAGGACCATGAGGGGGAAGGGCAGCCAGGGAGGATTGTCTGAGACACTCCCCTGCCAGAGGACTGGAGTATTGAAGAGCTGCAGACGGAGCAAAGGACAGACCTCGTCATTGCACTGGTAGTGGAGCGGTTGGAACGGCAGAAGTGGCCGGATCATGCCCCAAGCTGGACAGTGATTAGATGGGGTCCTGTCAGGTAGTGGATAGATTGTCAGATATGGTGTATCGAGTGTGCACTCAAACCCAGCACTTCATGGTGCTGTATCAGGACCTCCTGGCCCCATGTCTGGAGGATTGGGCAAGGTGCCCTAGTCCTCAGGGCCCTCTGACCCTCTGCCCTAGTCCTCAGGCCCTTAAGGAGGTGACAGGCTCCTCCTCATTCTCATTTAGAGACTGTGTTGGCAAGAACCCGGATTAGTGGGCAGCGGGGTCATTGCTTTGGACACTGGGGGCAAAGTGGCATCTAGGTAGTTCAGCAAGAAAGAAGGAAATATTTATCCTGGTTTAAGTGGGCTAAATCGGGACTTTTATTCTAAAAGCGGCTGAATATCACGGTGCCCCAGAGGTCATGATTTCTTAATTGATTTGCTCCTGCTGTGTTTCAGAGAGCCAGTGCAGTTCTGTATTGCACAAAACTGAATGATTCTGCACATGCTGTGATCCCGGAGGTGTAAGAAGAGTCTGATACTCTCAAAATAATCAGCTCTATCAACTGTGCTGATTACCTCTCCTTTCAAATTCTTTATAAATTACGTCTCGTAAACTTTTATGGTTTTCCTCTTCAGTATCTACATACACTTGTGGTCTAAAGTTGCAGATCATTTAATGTTAAGACTCCAAATGCTCCCATCCAGTCACTGACCAGGACCAGCCTCCCTTAGCTTCATAGCTCAGCAAAGCCTATGGGCTCCCAGCCCCATAGCGCCACTGGTAGCTCCAAATGCTGATCATCATATTTGCTTATGTGTTCTTATTTTCTGTCATTTTATTTATTGTGCTTTTTGAATGCTAATATAATTTTATTTTGTTTATAAGTTATGCAGTACATCACATTGACATTTGATTTATATTTAGTATCAACTGGTTGAATTTGCACTGTCAAAAAAATGACAAACATGCCAAAACTGTAAAAGTAATGTAAATTTAACTTGAAACATTAAAGAAAAGAACGAAAATAAAGTTGCCCAAAAACACAAAGCGCTCTCACAACATCAACGCGATGTCTTTTAGTTAACACCAAAGTGGAAAATATTGAAGCATGTTTAACAAATGATTTTGGCACATAGGTTTTTAGTTCATCAGCATTTTTTCACAGGTTATTCTAATAAAGACTCTCATTGTGAAGGCAGGGCTACTTTTCCTGTGTACAGCAGGAAGAACTGAGAGGCACACAAGGGCTGGCCAGAGCCAGTTTATGAGGAGCCTGGCCTCTTCCTATTTCCCCCGTTATATCAAAAACAGGACTGCTAGAGGGTGCCTGTGAGGGAATCCTCAATGAATGGGAGTAAATGGCACTGAACAGCTAAAAACGAAAAGTTAAAATAGTTTCTAATCACTTGCCCGGAACTTTCCTTCATTTTTAGAAAGTAGAAGGATGTATTTCACTAAAAAAACAAAACACTTACCTTTTATATTTCCTTTTTTCTACAAACGGGTTTTGGGCAGCGGAAGGCGGGCATTACTGCTACTGAGTGCTGATTGGTTGGCAAGCGGAGCAGCTTATTGACTGTTTGCGCTCACAGACGTCATAGACATACATGAGGGGTCGTTTTAAACTCGTATAGCTCGAGTTTAAAAGCTCTTAAAAATATAACAGCAGTGTTAAAATGTTTCATGCTGTTCTGTGTTCAGGAAAGAAGTATTCTTTTACATTAAAAATGTTTAAGCATTTATAAACTGATTTTTGCTCAAATGCTCCATATTAACCCATTTATTTTGGACTTGCTCAGGAGCGCCCTCTAGTGTTTGTGAAACCTGGAAGACATTACAGAGTGGTAATTCTCCTGTCTACAAGTTCTCTGGGCTGGCGGTGTAAGAGTAAGGCAAGCTGAGTAGTGAACAAGCTGTGCGTAAAGAGAAAACTGCTTATATACGGCGTAGCTGTGGCCAATAACAACTGGATAATAAAAACACCTCAACTTGTGCAAAAGCTATGTGTCTTTTCAAAGCAGTGAATGCTGCAACATAACCTTAATATAAACTACTTTAAAATTCACACATATGCAATACATGCCCCTGTCGCTACAAGAACAGCTAGTAGTGGTCACTAGTGCACAGCCTTGTTTCCACCCAGCTGAGGCTACTTGATTTAGTGCTCCACTCTGTACTCTTTTCTACACACCTTTGATTAAAAAGGGTGAGTCTCTCTCTTCCTGATATCAACACCCACACTGACATTCTCTAAATCAGTGGTTCCCAAATTGTAGTATGTGTCTTTACACCAAAACAACATTAATCTAACTTCATTCTTTCAGCTGCACAGGTACTCAGGCACTAAACAGCACTCAGTACATGACAAACTCATGCTTTAATAGTTAGCTTTTTTACTCCTTTACTTACTTTCTACTCTCATTTAAACCTGCCTATCTGATTGAACTAGATGCCTGGCATTCTTTCTTTGCTGCAAATTCATTAATAATTGGCCGAATTTCTGAGCTGCTGAGCTGACGTTAGTTGTTTATATTGGTTGACCTGAAGCTGAAATGTAGCTGGTGTGTTTGGTGATATGACTGGTGTGGAACTGCGTAGAATTGAGGTGTAACCGCTGTCCCAAAGACTGTTGTTGGCGAAGCATGTTACGTTGCAGTGCATGCTCGGAACTGTAGTGCAGCGCATTGTGAAATGGGCTAATATTAACAGAAAATTAAAATACTTTTTCGGGCCGGATAGGATTGTCTGGTGGGCCTGATCTGGCCCATAGAGCCTTGTGTTTGACACATGGGCTCTAGAGTGAGGGGGCAGTGGCTGTGTCAGATAGTGTCTGATGACCCGAGATTCTACTTGGTCAGTCTCTTATAAGTTCATCTCTTTTGTCAGTCCATAAATTAACACATGCTGTCTATCATGGGTTTGTGGCCTGATGGTTAATTTAACTGACAGGAACTGGCTCTGCCACTATAGTCAGAGTCATCAACACAACAGACAAAAAGAAAAGCTTATATCTTATTCGACATAAGAAGGAGTCTAACATGGACTGCCTTTTGATGTTCATTTTCTTTATTTCCAGTAAGTAGACTTTTATGTTACCTTTTACATTCATGAGCAAAATAAACAATTTATACATCAAATAATAGACAGTAAAGTCTTAAACTAATGTACTGATCCTCAAGAATCTTTAATGCGACTAGGCAAAATAAGATAAAATAATATGTTCAGAAAGTGACTTTTGGTCTGATGTCTCTGCAGGCATTGAGAGCCGGAGGTGGTCAGAAAGGCAGTTATCTCTTCAAACCGGAGGAAATGTCACCATCCCATGTCATTATGATATGAAATATATACAACATAAGAAATACTGGTGTTATGATGCTGGGGCAGACTTCAATTACTGCACGATTCAGGCTTATGAAAATACTACACAAGATAGAGTAACAGTGACTGATTACCCAGCTCAGAGTCTCTTTACTGTGACTATGAGAGATTTGCAGAGTGGAGACACTGGAATGTACTGGTGTGCTGTGGAGATTGGAGGAATATTTCAGCTAGATGAAAAAGAAGACATTTATATCACAGTGAAATCAGGTATTAGTTATAAATCCTATTTATGACTGTTTATTTATCACTGAATTTTGTGGTGCTTCTATGATTATATTTCATCCTGGCATCATTACAGAATTGCTTGTCTTTGTGTCCAGTTCCTGATCTATCTGTGGTGGAGAGCAGTGTGAGTGGTCAGGAAGGGGGCAATGTCAGTGTCCAGTGTCCCTACAGTGCTGGATATCAGAATGAACAGAAGCAGTGGTGCAGATCTAAAGACTGGAGCTGCTACACAGTGGGGAGGGCTGACACATCCCAGAATTTAGCAGTGCAGATCAGTGATGATAGGAGAAGATCCTTCAGTGTGGAGATGAGTGGACTGCAGAAGAGTGATGCTGGCTGGTACTGGTGTAAAACTGGAGATCTACAGGTTCCTGTTCATCTCAGTGTCAGTGATGCTCCTCCAGGTAAGACCACAAGCACTGATATTTGATTTCATTAACTGAATAAGTGAACACAGTTGTAATATAATACTTAATATTTGACAAGAAACAGTAAAGTGTTAATCAAGAAATGGGCTCTACAAAACATTGGTAAGTAGTGTTTAAATGTATAACATTTAAAAATATAAGTGTTAAAGTATAAATGTATAAATTCTAGACTCTGAGTTCTGTTTTATCCCCCATGTAAACACAGTCACTAAAGTAGCTTTTCATCATTTGAGAAATATTGTTAAAGTCCAGCCTTTTTTATCTCAGAGTGATGCAGAGAAATGAATGCATCCAAATAAAAACAACAAAAGGGATTAGATCACTCCTGTTTTAAAAGAACTGCACTGGCTGCCTGTATTGTTCAGGATAGATTTTAAAGTTCTGCTACTAGTTTTTAAGACTCTAAATGACCTTAAAGCACTGCTTACATCACAGAGTGTCTATCTGTTTATGTTCCAGCATGTGATCTTAGATCTGCAAACACCTTCTGTAAAATACAGAACACATGGAGAGGCCTTGTTTAGTTATTATGCTTCTAAACTGTGGAACTCAATTCCACCTTTTACTACACAGTCAAGCTCAGAGCTCACTTTTAAAAAGCATTTAAAAATGCATCTCTTTAAGTTAGCATTTAATTAAAATTCTGTCTCTTGGTATTTATAATTTCATGTATTATTGTTAAGATTTATCACCTGTCTGTAAAGCACTTTGAGCTGCCATATAGCATGAAAAGTGTTAAACAGATAATATTAAATATTATTATTATTATTATTATTATTATTAAAGGTGGAAGAGCATTTTACAGCTTTGCATAGTCACCGATGTTTCCAAATAAGCACTCAGTTACTTGTTCTAAATATAGAGCTGCTAGATTTCAGCCGTGTCAAAACCAGACAGCTCTCTCTCAGCGAGGTAGGCGCTTTATGTCTAAGATAAAGATGCATATTTAATTGGTTTTTGAAACTCACTGCAATTGAGAAATAAAGCGTTTGTCCTGTGCCCTGCATTAATGCAGCCACCTTTGCTGTTGTGCCTACACACAGTCTAAGTAGTATGCTCCAGATAGCAGAGGCAGGACGGATGGTGTTCTCATTTGATGTGTTTTTTAGTGGTTTCACACGTAGCTGCAGAACACAGTTGCCCTGCAACTGAAAATCTCAAGCCAGAGAGAGAGAGAGACAGAGAGAGAGGGAGAGAGGGAGGGATAATGACAGCACTAGTACAGCATTTTATCTACTTCATCTGATGGAGTGTAATTAGCTTTGGTGAATTCAAATGTGTACATCATTTCCACATGAATAAAATCATGAGTCATGCCAGTCAAAACAGGTGCAATAGGTTTAAATCATGTCAATTCAATGCTCACAATATATTATGCATTTTTAAAGCAAAATCTCTTGATCAGTGATTTTTCTAAATAGGCGCATCAGACTTTGTCAGTGTACTGAGTTTTACTTTTGGATAGTTGCTTCATGCTTCATTCCAGCTTTCTCTGAAGAGGAAAGATTAAATGCTGACAGAGTCACACCTTTTCATTTTGATACTGACATCAACTTGTTCCTTTTTTCAACAGCTACAAAAGCTGTGACTACAGTTCCTGTCACTGAGGAAACCAGCATCAGTGAGGCCACTTCAAGTATGACCACAGTCAGTCTTTTAAAGCAGCACTCATGTACATGCATTTGTACTTATTTTTACTTAATTTCACAATCAACAAAAAAATGTAATTTGACTGAGGCACCCAACTGTATTTTGCATAAAACTATATTTTTATTTTCTGTATTAATATTCCAAACCTGCAGTAGCCACACACTGTTTACATTAACGCTGCCTTTTGAAGAGAAGTGAATTGCTTCCCTCTCCAACTAGCTGCTTTAGGTACGTGTCACTACAACACAAGCAGGAGTAAGAGGCTGTTTGTGTAGCTTGATGCAGGATTACATCGCTTTAAAAACTTCACATTTTCAGTCGACATAATTTTCTCACACTCCCATCCATTTTTGCAACTACAATAATAATTTTCCACATGTTTTTCATCTTGTGTGTAGTCTGACTATGGGCGTAACAAAAGCTCCCACAGCTCCATTTTTATCAGCAATCTGATTGGACGATGCTCAGCTCATTTGCATACGGTTCATCAGAGAGTAGAGACAGCAGGGTGTGTGAAATGTGTGCATGTATGTACTGTCGTCTCTCACCACAATCTAGCACATTATGATACATTCTATTTCATATTAATGACCCAAACAATTAAAATAACAAAAATGGCCAGATTCATGAAAGTAGGCAGTGACAGCGCTACGCCACACAAAATGTGCAGCACAGTAAACAGGAGCTATTCATAAAGTCACTGTGGTGATGATTAGCACACCAGTGTCTTTTTAACGCTGTGTAATTTTCACCTGTGTGCTGGGCAAGAACCAATTAAAACACACCTGTATATGAGGTCATACATATTAAAGACTCATGCCAAGTGAAGCTCCAGTCAGAAAGGATGCAATGAAAGAGATGAAAACCAAGAAATTAAAGTAAAAGCTAATTCTCAGAAACAGAACAACGGATTTGAAGAGAAGAAATGCCGACAAATAATAGTAAATTGTTTGGCAAACATGCTTTTAATTTTTAATCAAGAATAAAAAAAACTAAAAAGTAAAAATTACATTTTAGAATGTAAGATTTCATTTCTCATTGGTAATAATTTAAGCCTTTTTCCAGTTCATTATAACTGCAGTAAATAAACATTTAATTCTTGTTTTCAAGAATGAGAAAATGTAAAAATTGCACGTGAGAACAAAAATTCCACTATTAAATATGAAATTTCAACTAGTAAAAGTTCAGTTTTTACTGAATTAAAAATATGACTAGTATAAATGTCTGTGGTTAAAGGCTAAAACTGCTTGCAATAAACCCAATTGACACATGTAATTAGAATCTCAATAAGTCACATTACTCTTCACTTATTTGCATTACACACTAAACACATTATCCACAAACAGCATGGGATTCATGAGGCATTGAATTTGATACAGGAAGAAGTCATTTTCAGTAAAGTGCCAGTTGAATCTGCTGATTTTAAATCCGTCTCCAGCCAGTTCCCTTTCTTTCTCATGTACTCGCCTCAGCAGCAGTTAGAAGGTTTACTGGGGAAAATTACCAGCAGAGTAGTTCATGCATTATTTTTGATTGATCCTGTCATGTTAAGAATCACTACACACACATGTAAATGATTTAAATGCATAGCCACACCTCACATAGTGCAAGAGGTAAAACACGCCACTGATCCTCATTTGTAAGGGAGCAAACATGTTATCTTTACACTGCTTCACATCTGCTCTTTGTGGTGCCCTTCATGAATGTGGCCTATAGTGTCTAGCATGATGTCACAGTATGTGCTGCCTACATGCTGCTAAAATTGCACCCTCAACCTTCCAGCGCCCCTGGAGCTTATTTATGCAGGCATGAGCCTATTTTGTATGTATTTGAGTCTATGGAGCACAGAGTTTGGGCAAAAGAGAAACATCTGGAAAAGTATGGATGCTAAATAAATCATGGGCTATTAATGTCATGTCTTGAGAGCTATATACAGTAAAACCAGCTGACAGTTGTGTATGTCATTACAGACCTCATTAGAAATTATTAGTGCAGAAACCTTGTAATTCGCTTTGAAAGTAGCCTTTCAATGTCTGATTAGCTGCTAGCACAATCCAAATTTCCACTAGCATCCCTATAATTTTGTTAGCACTAAGCTAGCAGTGTTGTATTCAATTCAGTTCACATCCAGCTTTATTTGTAGAGCAGCTTTACAGGAATCCAGGTCTGGTCAACACCGGATAGCAAAACAGTAAAAGAACAATAAGAGTTATGTAACAGTGAATAAGGAGAAGACTGTTGAATATACAGTGATGTTTCATGAGGAAAAAAAAACAAAGTGATCAAAGGGCAGAAAGTATAATCACATTTCATTCCATGATCTTGAATATGGACATGTGATGCTTATAACTTGCATAGAATTGGCATAATTTTATAGTTTATGTAGACGTACAAGAACTAAATAAATCAGTGATCAATCAATTCACTTTCTTTGTTTAACTAGTAAAAATCGTATCTGATTGGCCTTCAAAGGTTCAGCTGCAACCTTCTAATTTCCATCCACAGGTTGAGGAAATGTGGGATATAACATTGCATGATGATCAACATTATATGACCTTTTCACTGACATTAACTTACTGTAAAGAATATATGGCAAATACTGGTGTCACTGTTTCCAAATACTGAAGAGAAATCTAATAACAAAGAATATAAATAGCTTTCAATAATGTTTTTTGTATGTCTGTTGCTCATTCACACTCTTACTGTGTTACACTAGTTACACTAGTTGGCTTATCAGCTAGCAAATATTAGTGATTGTCTTACAACTTATGAGGTCTGTTATGACTGATCTGGTCATCTTTTTATGTTATGTTAGTCTCTGGGAGCACAGCAAAAACAGTGCTGGGTTAGAGCAGCAGCGCCTCCCCCAGGTCACCTCCTGCTATCAGTATATTGTGTATGAGAATTACTATAAATGATTTGAACCAGTTGTGTACATTTATTTGGGAAAGGTGGGCTAAATAACATTTGTGGTGGTGGGCGGGCAAGGGGCCAAAACTGGCATAGTAATGCCCCTGGTCATTGCATCTAGTGGCACTGTCATTACACCTAATGGATGAAAATAGAGTTCACCTTTAAATGAATCAAATCAACTAATGCATATAATTAACACCTCTGCTTTGTCCTTCTAGGTTCTGCAATTGTTACTACAGATACAGAATCAGCAACAGATCTGTGAGTAGCTCACTTCTGCAAGTGATGTTAGTCTATAATTAGAGATTCATTTCCACAGTTCATTATCAGCCCCTCCCCCCCTTGCTTCTTGCAGAAGATCAACTGGTTCTTCTTCAGTAGTGACTTCTGAGAATGTAAATAGCAGCACAGGAAAGAGTGGAGGAGAGCAAGATAAGTATGTTCTGAAATGCTAATGAACTGATTGTTTATTGATTCTGCTCAAATGGTAATTTCATTAGTCAACAGCATGTACACTCTGAGACCCTGATTTACTAAGATCCCAAATAAATAGTACAAATTTGTATGTGCAGTTCAGTACATTGTGTGAGCGGTTAGTGTGAATTTTGGCGGCTGACTTTTAAATGATAATTGTGGAGATGACAATAAAAAGGTAGAGACTGTATGTAAATGAAGCGTTTGAATGTGCAAACTTTGGCAAAGTTGGATGTCAAAGAGTTCCAGCTGGAGTATAAGTTTAAAAAGAGGTATAGCAAACAAACTTGAGTCAACAGAGACTGGTAAGGTGAAAAAAGAATAAATAAACAAAAAAGCCAATGATAATACTTGGAGTGACAAGATCAGAACTATTCAGTTGCAGGACAAGGTTAATTCAGTTTAGTTCATTAATTAAACTGATTTTATGACAAGAACAAAATTTACTTACAGTAGGCCTACAGAGAATATCCTACAACATGTATTCATTCATAGAAGGAGTGATCAGTAGCAGCTACGTATTTACTCTAGAATGAGCAGGTCGACCAGAAATCAATTTAAGGGCATTTTAAATCAGAAGAAGGAACCACGCTGTTTCTGCAGGGCTTCATTTCTGAAATGCTCCAGTGTTACCAAGGTAGTCTTTTACATCTGCGTACACAGCAGGCATAGTCATGCTGCAGGTTCGTGCAGCAAGCAATGACACTCTGCAAGCTACATGCTGGAAGCACAATCATGCCACAAGCTACATGCAGTGTGAAATATGTACGAAATATATACATGTCCTTTGCAACTAATATATAACATAACACATAACATAAATCAGTACTATGTAAAATGCGGGTATTTGAAGACTTCTCTGGTGAAATATGCAATTTCACGCAACATGCAAAGTAACATTTCTTAACATTGGATGTAATGAAACTAAAAATGGGTCATCACTGGATCTTCTAGGGAGACAGTCCAGATCAACACAAAAATGGTTTAATAAACCTGTGGGGTGAGCTAAAGAGGAGAGTGCACAAGTGAGGAACAAGGACCCTGGATGATCTGGAGAGATTCTGTAGAGAATGGTCTTGAATTCCCTGCTCTGTGTTCTCCAATTTAATAAGATGTTAGAGGAGAAGACTAAGTACTGTTTTATTGGTAAAAGCAGATTGTATAAATTATTAAATGCAGGAGTGCAATTAATGTGTAATGTGGTGCAAATCTTACATTAGAGATCAGTGTTTGTGTGATAATTCAAAATACAAGAATCAGGATGTGTCTCCTTCAGGTTCAGTGAGTCCAGCAAATATTAGCAGTGCTAATTTACTCATGCCATGTGTTTTCATTCACTGCAGGAATGGAGAGATCCTGTTGGTCTGGGTTCTACCGGCTGTAGGTCTTGGACTGCTGCTGATTCTGGTCAGCATTATTATCTGTATGTTGAGAAAGTTCAGTAAGTAGTTTTATTTTCTTGAAAGGCTTTTAAAGGTGTTTTTGAAATACTAATATTAAAACCTCTTGGACAATGAAAAACCTCAGCTTTTGATACAAAAACCAGACAGGACAATCACAGGGTTAAAGAGCTTATTTAATATATATATATATATATATATATATATATATATATATATATATATATATATATATATATAAAATGTGCTTTCGCACTGACGTTATGAGGAGCATTTCAACCCAAACTGCTTTTTGAGGCACAATACAGGGCAGCCAATCAGTAGTGGTAGTAAGTAAGTAAGTAAAGTTTATTTATATAGCGCTTTTTACAACAGGTGTTGTCACAAAGCAGCTTTACAAGGAAATGAGCATTACAAAAAAAATCCGGGTCCAAGCCCCCATGAGCAAGTGGCAAGGAAAAACTCCCTAAGAGAAACAGGAAGAAACCTTGAGAGGAACCAAGACTCAGAAGGGGAACCCATCCTCCTCTGGTCGACACCGGATAGAAAACATTGTTAGTATAAAGTATTATAGTACAAAAACAGGGTAAAAGGAGGAGCAAACAATTAATTTGAATAGTTTAGTTCATGCAGCAGCAGCAGCAGCAGCAGCATCAGTGGGGTCAGGTTGTGGGGGTGAGGTTTGCACAGCGAGCAGTGGCACCTGATCAAGGCAGAAGAGGCAGCAGCATCAGATGCACAGGATGGGCAGCTGTTCAACTCGGCAAAGGAAAGAAAGGAAAAACACACAGAGAGTCAGTTCTGCAATGGGTGATTGATTAATTTGAATTAGTTTAAATGATTGGTTCAAGTGAGACGACAGAGATCATTTACATACAACAGTTTTAAAGGAATAGTGACAAAAACAGCCTGTTTAATTCTAAGGGATAAATAAAGGTTGTAAAATGGTATTAAAATGAATAAAAATGAATTATGACTGTTTTTTTGTACATAAAACCACCAAATCTTACAAGTGGCCCTCAGAGGAAAATCTAAACAGTAAGCAAAATGTAAGATGTGGGCCTTTTAGTAAATTAGTTAGTTGTTAGTTGATTTATTTACTTACTATCAATGTTCATGTTGTGCTTTCATGTGTGAATGTGTTATTAAATAACTTACAAATAACTTACAAGAAAACAATCAACAATTAACAATGACTAATCTGTATCATTTGCTTTACTCACTCTCTCTCTCTAACAGAAAAAAGTGAGACGGAGACCAGAGAGAGGAGCAACAGCACTGCAGTTCAGACGGTTAGTATTGTGGTTAATAGGAGGCATCATGCAGTCTGGTTTAGTATTGCTTTCAGTGTTACCTGGTGTTCTAACAGGAGACAGAAGTTAGTGTGATGGTGTCATACACTCTCAAAAATAAAGGTATCAAAAGGCCATAGAAGAGCAATTTTGTTTTCTTTCACATGGACAGTTCTTTAGAGAACCAAACAGTGTTGTTCACACTGACAAATCTCTGTTTCAGTAGTGCTTCTTCAGTGGTGTTGCACAAAGAACTCTTTGTGGCTCCTCTTTTTTCAGAGTATATTTGTAGTGTTGAATCTTCCTTTGTGTTTTGCATTTTTTTGTAAAGATTAGAATTTTTATATTAATCTAGTTTTAAACTTTGAATGAAAAATTACTTGTGTGTGTGTGTGTGCGTGTGTGTGTGTGTGTGTGTGTGTGTGTGTGGAAAAAGTCCTCTACTGGTGAAGCAATGTACAGTACTGTGATTAAAAAAAAGAAAAAGGTAGGACTTTCTTTTTTCGAGACTCCTTTGTATATAAAGAATATCCTCAGCATTCAGTTATTATTATTGACTTACTCTGAGTAAATTATGTCCACAGCCTTCATCTGCACTGGATCAGGAAAATGGTGTGATCTACAGCTCTGTAGTCACAGCTACAAAAAACGACACTGTAAGTGAACTTCTAAAAATACAGTAACAGTTCATTGTTTTAACCATGGCAGTTTAAGTTGGTTTAAAGCTGCAAGTGATTATGAGAAATATTTAGTTTAAATAGAAGTTCCTCAGCCTTAGTGAGCGCTTAGTGTAGCTGGAGAAAGAGCACTCAGGGTGGTTGGAATCAGAGATCCTTCTTTATTTCTAAAGCTGTTCCATTTTCCAGCTCTCTCCAGCAGGTGGAGATGATGGGGTGATCTACAACTCTGTGGTCAGTAATTAAGAGGTGAGAGTCTTAGACTGAGGTAGTGAGTTTACTGAAAAGCAAAACTGATTTGATGTAACTCTTAATTCAAGAAGAAATTATTGTTCTTTACTTGTTTTGTTTTTTCTATTTCAGCAAGCTACTTCATTTCTCTGTTATGTCTTGATTGCAGGTGTAAGCAGATGAATTTCTGGACAAACTACCTGAGCAGAGAGGACACTGTAATACAAGTGACCTGTTAAATGGATATAGACTATAGATTATGTGGCATGTTAATGTTCTATTTTCCTTAGTCATATTATTTATGCCATTTGAATCTACAACTTTTAATGGCTTGTATTAGAGCTGCTAATAAGTGCTAGCTTAAAGCTGCACTATGTAAGTTTTGGTTTTGAGACCTCTTTGGTGGAAATGTGTAATTGCACACAATGTGCAGGAGAACATTTTGTAAGATTCCTTGTGCTTCAGGCCACTTCTCTGAGATTCATCCGAATCTGAAGATTGTGAGTGTGTTAAAAGAGTATCTAAGAGAATTCACTCAAAGCTTATGTGCTTTAAATATATGAATTCAAAGTTCACTAACATAGTTTATTTTTTTTATTTTAAATGAATAACAAATGGCTTTTTTATTTTTTAGTAATGCAGGCATATTCACTTGTCCATATAGACAGTGATTTAAATTCCATTCTAAATATTACTGAATCAAAGTTGTATTAACATCAAACATTAGACATGACCCTTTAGTTATGAAGACATTTTGAGATCAGTGGAATTCCCTTCCATGTGCTCAGCCTCCTGCTGTCCTGATTGTGAACTACATCAGTCATAGTAAACCTCTTGTTTAAGCTGGTTTTATCTTTATAGGTGCCCTTTGAAATGATTGGCAAAATATGAGCAAAAATGTCCACAAACTGATGTCTGTGTTGTATATTAGCTTGATTTTGCAGAAATAATACACAGTATATTAAAAGAAATTACAGTGCAAAAATCAATGTCCCACAGTTAATGTTTATTTCTTAATGCCAATTGTTGGAAACCCTGGAAATTCTCATTAATAAAACATATTCTATACATTTTTCTGTTCTGTTGTAGTATAGACTAAACAATATAGATTACTATAGTTATGCAGATGATGTACAGATATAACACATGAGTACAGTCAAGTAGACTCACTGTATCAATTTATGGAGCACATAAATACAAACCACATTTCTGAAAAAGTTGGACGTTTTGTAAAATGCAATAAAAACAAGAATCTCTGATTTGTTCATTTTCTTGAACAATTATTTAACTGACAAAAGTACAATGAAAAAATTACCAATGTTCTCACTGACCAATTTATTATATTTACAAATTTAGGTTTTTGCAATTTTTGCCCATTCTTGCTTGATGCAAGACTTCAGCTGCTGTTTCCATGGTCGTTGTTGTCTGATTTGCCTCTTAACGATGCACTGTACATTTTCAATAGGAGAGAGATCTGGTCTGCAGGCTGGCCAGTCAAGCACACACACTCTGTATCTATGAAGCCATGCATGTGCAGGGATGTCCCAGGAAAAGACATCGTCTTGATGAAAGCATATCTTTAAAATCCTCTGTTTGAATGGTATCTTCAAATCAAAGTCACCCATGCTGTGGGCACTGATGTACTCCATACCATGACAGATGCACCTTTTGCTGCTAAAAATCTGGATGCTTCTTTTGTCTTTGGAGAACACAATGTCCGTTTTTCCCAAAAACAAGCTAAACAAGGACTCTGATCACAGCACACATTTTCATTGTCTTTTGGACCACCTGATTTGATGTCAGGCCCAGAGAACTCAGGGGCGTTTCTGCATGGTATTGATGTATGGATTTCTTCTTGCATAATAGAATTTCAAGTTGAATTTCTTGCTGTGTTTTTTGACATGGTTTTCCGAAGTACTCCTGAGGCCATGCGGCTGTATTTAACACAGTAGCATGATGGTTTCTTATGCAATGAGATTTCTACAGATTCCCTAAATCTTTGTACAATATGTGTACAGTAGATGGTGAAAGTCCTAAATTCGGCGCAACCTTGCATTGAGAAATGTTCTTTATGAACTGTTTGGCAATTCTCTCACAAAGCTTGGCACAAAGTGATGATCTTTGACCCATCTTTGCTTGCACAGACTCATGCTTTGGTGGATGCTTTTTTATACTTAGTCATGATACCCTCACCTGTTACCAATTCACTTGCTTATTGTGGCATGTTTCAAAACGGTGTAACTTGAACATTCTATTCTAGTAAAGTGCTTTGTTTTTGTTCATATGATCTGTTTTCTGACATTAAGAAAGATAAACAGTTAATAAAAGGATCAAAATGTTACTGTTACTGTTACAATGACAAGATCAGCAAACTAATTACAATTACAACAAAATGATGATGCAACTGTGTCTTCATTCATTTCACCAAAAAGTGTAAATGGGAATAAGATGTTTAAACACACCTGCTGTTTCGTCTTATATGACCCGTATTCTGGGCTTCATTGTCAAAACTATGCAGAGGTGTCAAATACAGACAGTAAAAGGGCCATATTAAAAATCTAATCAAATCTATGATTTTTATTAATGCTGGCTATAATCTGAACTGGCCACTGTTTATTTAAAATATGCAAAAACGTCAGCAGTAAAATACAGACACTTGCAACAGATCTTGAAATATTACATGAACACTTGAAATATTCAAAAGGTGCTCGGACTTTTAAACTTACCTATTTGCTTTAACTAGACACCAGGCATCCTTTCTTTGCTGCAAGTTCTTTGCTTGGGGCAGTACTTAGTCAGCAGATGGAGGGTGTGAGTGATTGCCTTTTTGAGTCAGGCATTAAGCTGCCAAGAGAGGAACTACTGTGTCACACGACCGGAGCTGTCAGTCAGACACTTCCGCTTCTACCTGTATGGTCAAAAGTTTACCCTGAGGACAGACCACTCTTCGCAAAAGAGGCTGGTGAGTTTAAAGGAACCAGAGGGCCAGCTAGCCCGGTGGCTGGAAGAGCTGCAGTCATCCCCAGTTCGATACAGTGCCGTGGTAGGGGTGCCTGGACAGCCAGTCTGCATTGGCACCAGAGACATGCAGGAACGGTGCAGGAAACGTGCCATCAGCAAACAGTAGGAGCAGGACCATGAGGGGGAAGGGACAGCCAGGGAGGATTGTCTGAGACACCCTGCTGCCAGAGGACTGGAGTCTGGAAGAGCTGTGGACGGAGCAAAGGACAGACCTCGTCATTGCACTGCTAATGGAGTGTTTGGGATGGCAGAAGTGGCCGGATCATGCCCCAAGCTGGACAGTGATTAGATGGGGTCCTGTCAGGTAGTGGATAGATTGTCAGATATGGTGTATCGAGTGTGCACTCATACCCAGCACTTCATGGTGCGGTATCAGGACCTCCTGGCCCCATGTCTGGAGGATTGGGCAAGGTGCCCTAGTCCTCGGGGCCCTCTGGAACCTAGCCCCACAGGACCCGACTAATGCACTCCAGATGTACAGAGAAACCCTCCACGCCCCTGAGCATCATCAGCAGCTTCAGAATCCTCTCCATGGCCCCGGGGGACCCGGTTAGACCACGACACCTTGACGAATGCAGCGCATAGGGCCGGATGCCATATACCACCTGGGGCTGGGAGCCCTTAAGGAGGTGACGGGCTCCTCCTCATTCTCATTTAGAGACTGTGTTGGCATGGACCCGAATTAGTGGGCAGCGGGGTCATTGCTTTGGACTCTGGGGGCAAAGTGGCATCTAGGTAGTTCAGCAAGAGAGAAGGAAATATTTATCTTGGTTTAAGTGGGCTAAATAGGGACTTTTATTCTAAAAGCAGCTGAATATCACGGTGCCCCAGAGGGGACTCATGGTCATGATTTCTTAATTCGTTCCTACGATTAACAATTTGTTATCTTGTTTTCTTTTAATTCGTGGGTATGTTTTCATTTATTTGTGGTCATTTCTTAATTCATTCTGTCAGTTTCTTTTAATCGTGCCTATGTTTTCTTTTTAATTGTGTGCATGGTTTTTTGTGCGCAAACAAAATAAATTTTGTAGATTCAGTTTTATTTGTCATGTGCACAGGTAGGCTAACAGCTCCCTGAAAATGTCTGACAGGTGTTTATGTGTTAGGCCGGTGAGATAACAGACATAGATGTGCTTATTAGATTTGATTTTGATTTGGGTGCGTTATGAGGACACTGTAGCTCCTCTTTACAGCGGAGCTTCAGAATCAGCAAACAGCCAGTAGATTCGTCAGTGCAGCTGCAGTTTGGTGATGAAATGAAAGAAGACAATGGACGACAAACACAACCTTCACAAACTGCTCTTTTTAATGATTATATTTAACAGAGATGAAACCACAGCACAGCTATTATCACTGTTTCTGCTTGCAAGTCCACAAAATTACAGGAAGAAATGTTCAGGGTTTCAACATCCTCAAATTAAACACAGTGTTTCATTAAACACACAGCGTTGCTCACAACATAACTTCCTCTTTGAAATTGTATGCAATCGCATTAACACTTCATGCGCAACAGCAGATGTGAACAGAGATAAACCTTGTAGAAGCATTAATGACTGATATAAACTTATTTATAAACTATGAATGTCTCAGTTTTTGTCTTTATAAACAGTGTGATTTGCTCCTGCTGTGTTTCAGAGAGCCAGTGCAGTTCTGTGTTGCACAAAACTGAATGATTCTACACATGCTGTGATCCCGGAGGTGTAAGAAGAGTCTGATACTCTCAAAATAATCAGCTCTATCAACTATGCTGATTACCTCTCCTTCCAAATTCTATATAAATGACGTCTCGTAAACTTTTATGGTTTTCCTCATCAGTATCTACATACACTTGTGGTCTCAAGTGGCAGATCGTTTAATGTTAAGACTCCCACATTCCAGTCACTGACCAGGACCAGACTCCCTTAGCTTCATAGCTCAGCCAAGCCTATGGGATCCCAGCCCCATAATGCTGATTATCATATTTGCTTATGTGTTAATATTTTCTGTCATTTTATTTATTGTGCTTTTCGAATGCTACTGTACTTTTGTTTTGCTTGTAACTTATGCAGTTCATCACATTGACATTTGATTTATATTTAGTATCAACTGGTTTGATTTTGCACTGTCATAAAAAATGGTGAAAACATGCCAAAAATGTAAAATGTTTTGTTTTTCTGTAAAATAAGACTGTATGCTTGACAATTTAAATAAAGGTTTTAAAAAAATTGTACTGTTATTACCAAAGTTATCTATTAAAGCAACCCGGTTACACTCCCCAAGCTAGGAATATTCCATCACACCAGCACTTAAAACAACTATATGTTTATATATATATATATATGTTAACAATGCAAACTTCACTTGAAACATGAAAGAAAAGTATGAAAATAAAGCTGCCCAAAAACACACAACACTCTCACAACAGCAACGCAATGACTTTTAGTTAACACCAGAGTGGAAAATATTGAAGCATGTTTTTAGTTAATCAGCATTTATTCACAGGTTATTCTGATAAAGACTCTTATTGTGAAGGCAGGTCTACTTTTCCTGTGTAGAGCAGGAAGAACTGAGAGGCACACAAGGGCTGGCCATAGCCGGTTTATGAGGAGCCTGGCCATTTCCTATTTCCCCTGTTATATCAATGAATGGGTAGTAAATGGCGCTCAATGGGTAAAAATGAAAAGTTAAAATAGTTTCTAATTACTTTCCCAGAACGTTTCTTTAATTTTAGAAAGTAGAAGGATGTATTTCACCAAAAAAACAAAGAAAACTTATCTGTATGTTTCCTTTTTTCTACAGCAAACGGATTTTGGGCAGCGGAGGGCGGGCATTACTGCTACTGAGTGCTGACTGGTTGGCGAGCGGAGCAGCTCATTGGCTGTTTGCGCTCATAGTCGTCATAGACATACATGAGGTGCTGTTTTAAACTCCTATAGCTCGAGTTTAAAAGCTCTTAAAAATATAACATCAGTGTTAAAATGTTTTTTGCTGTTCAGTGTTCAGGAAATGATTGCATTCTTTAACATTAAAAATGTTTAAGCATTTATAAACTATGATTTTGCTCAAATGCTCCATATCAACCCATTCATTTTGGACTCGCTTGGGAGCGCCCTCTAGTGTTTGAGAAACCTGGAAGTTGTTACAGAGTGGTAATTCTCCCCTCTACAAGTTCTCTGGGCTGGCGCTGAAAGAGTAAGACGTGAACTGACTAGTGAACGAGCTGTGAGTAAAGAGAAAACTGCTTATATACGGCGTAGCTGTGGCCAATAACAGCTGGATAATAAAAACAACTCAACTTGTGCAAAAGCTATGCGTCTTTTAAAAGCAGTGAATGCTGCAACATAAACCTTAATATAAACTGCTTTAAAATTCACACATATGCAATACATGCCCCTGTCGCTACAAGAACAGCTAGTAGTGGTCACTAGTGCACGGCCTTGTTTTCACCCAGCTTAGGCTACTTGATTTAGTGCTCTAATCAGCACTCTTTTCTACACACCTTTGATTAAAAAGGGTGAGTCTCTCTTTTCCTGATATCAATACCCACACTGACATTCTCTAAATCAGTGGTTCCCAAACTGTAGTATGTGTATGTATGACCAAAACAACATTAATCTAACTCATGCTTTAATAGTTTGCTTTTTTACTCCTTTATCATCAGGTGTTTCACTCCGGCCCCTACTTTTGACTCTCTCTATCTCTCTCCATCTCTTATTTCACTCTTACTTTCTCCTCTCTTTCTCCTTTTCTTACTTTCTACTCCTTTCTCTCTCCTATCTCTCTCTTACTTTCTACTCTCATTTAAACCTGCCTATCCGACTGAACTAGATGCCTGGCATCCTTTCTTTGCTTCAAGTTCATTAATATTTGGCTCATTTTCTGAGCTGTTGAGCTAACATTAAGTGTTTATATTGGTTGAACTGAAGCTGAAATGCAGTTAGTGTGTTTGGTGATATGGCTGGTGTGGAATTGCATAGAATTGTGTAGAATTGAGGTGTAACCACTGTCCCATAGACTGTTGTTGGGGTAGGAGAGTCAGAGCACGCTATGTTGCAGTGCATGCTGGGAACTGTAGTGCAGCGCATTGTGAAATGGGCTAATATTAACAGAAAATTAAAAGACTTTTGTGGGCCAGATAGGATTGTGTGGCGGGCCTGATCTGGCCCTTGGGCCTTGTGTTTGACACATGGGCTCTAGAGTGAGGGGGCAGTGGCTGTGTCAGTGTCTGATGACCTGAGTCTTCCGGTCATCAGTTACTTGGTCAGTCTCTCATCAGTTGATCTCTTATGATGTCAGTCCATAAAGTAAGACATGCTCTCTATCATGGTTTTGTGGCCTGATGGTAAATTTAAACAACAGGAACTGGCTCTGCTGCTATAGTCACAGTGTCACCAACACAACAGACACAGAGGAAGCAAGAAAAGCTACATCTTATTCGACATAAGAACGAGTCTAACATGGACTGCCTTTTGATGTTCATTTTCTTTATTTCCAGTAAGTAGACTTTTATGTTACCTTTTACATTCATGTGCAAAATAAACAATTTATACATCGACTAATAGACAGTAAAGTCTTAGTGATGTACTGATCCTCAAGAATCTTTAATGCAACTAGAGAAAGTAAGATAGTAATATGTGCACAAAGTGACATTTGGTCTGATGTCTCTGCAGGCATTGAGAGCCGGAGTTGGTCAGAAAGGCAGTTATCTCTTCAAACTGGAGGAACGATCACCATCCCATGTCATTATGATATGAAATATATACAACATAAGAAATACTGGTGCTATAATGCTGGGGGAGGCTTCAATTACTGCACGATTCTGGCTTATGAAAATACTACAAAAGATAGAGTAACAGTGACTGATTACCCAGCTCAGAGTCTCTTTACTGTGACTATGAGAGATCTGCAGAGTGGAGACACTGGAATGTACTGGTGTGTTGTGGAAATCGGAGGGATAACTGAAGTAGATGATAAAAAAGACATTTATATCACAGTGAAATCAGGTATTAGATTATAAATCCTATTTATGACTGTTTGTTTGACACTGAATTTTGGTGTTTCTTTGTTTATATTTCATCCTGGCATCATTACAGAATAGTCTGTCTTTGTGTCCAGCTCCTGATCTATCTGTAGTGGAGAGCAGTGTGAGTGGTCAGAAAGGGGGCAATGTTAGTGTCCAGTGTCTCTACAGTGCTGGGTATCAGAATGAACAGAAACAGTGGTGCAGATCTAAAGACTGGAGCTGCTACACAGTGGGGAGGGCTGACACATCCCAGAATTCAGCGGTGCAGATCAGTGATGATGGGAGAAGCTCCTTCAGTGTGGAGATGAGTGGACTGCAGCAGAGTGATGCTGGCTGGTACTGGTGTTATATTGGAGATCTACAGGTTCCTGTTCACCTCAGTGTCAGTGATGCTCCTCCAGGTAAGACCACAAGCACTGATATTTGATTTCATGAACTGAATAAGTGAACACAGTTGTAATATAATACTTGTAATACTATATACTATAATAATATAAAACTCGTACAAAATGCATCAGCATGCGTCCAAATAAAAACAACAAAAGGGATTAGATCACTCCTGTTTTAAAAGAACTGCCCTGGCAGCCTGTATTGTTCAGGATAGATTTTAAAGTTCTGCTACTAGTTTTTAAGACGCTAAATGACCTTAAAGCACTGCTTACATCACAGAGTGTCTATCTGTTTATGTTCCAGCATGTGATCTTAGATCTGCAAACACCTTCTGTAAAATACAGAACACATGGAGAGGCCTCGTTTAGTTATTATGCTTCTAAACTGTGGAACTTTATTCCACCTTTTACTACACAGTCAAGCTCACTGCTCACTTTTAAAAAGCATTTAAAAATGCATCTCTTTAACTTAGCATTTAATTAAAATTCTGTCTCTTGGTATTTATAATTTCATGTATTATTGTTAAGATTTTTTTATTATTATTATTATTATTATTATTATTATTATTATTAAAGGTAGAAGAGCATTTTACAGCTTTGAACAGTCACTGATGTTTCCAAACATGCACTCAGTTACTTGTTCTAAATATAGAGTTACTAGACTTCAGCCGTGTCAAAACCAGACAGCGCTCTCTCAGCGAGGTAGGCGTGTTTTAAAACAGTTCCATAATTGTCTGGATTATTTCGTTCTAGTTTTTACATTTTTCTTCATATTTGAAGGATGATACATGAACATCATAGGGTAAAATGATTAAATTCTGTATAAAAATACATTTTCCAGGCTATTGTTTGTTCTGCCACTGTGTAACAAATAAAACCACAAGAAAATAATCCACAGTTTATTCACTGTCTCTTTTGTAGGCTAACAAATGTCTAAGATAAAGATGCATATTTAATTGGTTTTTGAAAATCACTGCAATTGAAAAACAAAGCGTTCATCCTGTATCCTCCATTAATGCTGCCACATTTACCGTTGTGCCTACACACAGTCTGTGTCTTAATCCACATACTACAGTGCTAAGTAGTATGCTCCAAATAGCAGAGGCAGAACTGACGGTGTTCTCATTTGATGTGCTTTTTGGGCAGAAAATGTGGTTTCACACGCAGCTGCAGAACACAGTCGCCCTGCAACTGAAAATCTCCGCACACAAGCCTGCAACTAAGAGAGGGACAGTGAGAGAGACAGTGAGAGAAACAGAGAGAGAGGGGGGGGGGCATAATGACAGCACTAATATGGCATTTTATCTACGTCATCTGATGGAATGTAATGAGATTTGGTCAATTCAAATGTGTACATCATTTACACATGAATAAAATCATGAGTTTGGCCATGGCAGTCAAAACTGTGTAATATGTTGAAATCATACAGAGTTTTAAATCATGTAAATTCAATGCTCACAATGTATGATGTATTTTTAAAGCAAAATCTCTTCATGAGTGTAAATGGGTGCATCAGACTCTGTCAGTGTACTGAGTTTTACTTTTGCACAGTTGCTTCATAGTAATTCCAGCTTTCTCTGAAGAGAAAAGATTAAATGCTAACAGAGTCACACCATTTCATTGTGCTACTAATATCAGCTTGTTCCTATTTTTAACAGCTACAAAGGCTGTGACTTCTGTTTCTGCCACTGAGGAAACCAGCATCAGTGAGGCCACTTTAGGTACAACCACAATCAGTCTTTTAAAGCTGCACTCATGCATGATATCATTTGATGTCATGCGTGTGTACATGCATGTGTACTTATTTTACTTATTTTCACAATCAACAAAACATATAATTTGACAACTGTGTTTTTATTTTTTGTATTTATATTCCAAACCTATAGTAGCCCACACTGTTTATGTTAATGCTGCCAAATGTCTGCTTTAGGGGTGTGTCACTACACAACACAAGCAGGAGGCTGTTTGTGTGGCTTGATGCAGGATTATATTGCTTTAAACACGTAACATTTTCAGCCAACATAATTTTCCTCACACTCCCATCCATTTTTGCAACTACAATAATAATTTTCCACGTGTTTTTCATCTTGCGCATAGCCTGACTATGGGCGTAACAAAAGCAGCTGCACTTTTTATCAGCAATCTGATTGGATGCTGCTGAGCTCATTTGCATACAGTTCATCAGAGAGTAGAGACAGCAGGGTGTGTGATATGTGTGCATGTATGTACTGTCGTCTCTCACCACAATCTAGCACATTATGATACGTTCTATTTCATGTTAATGACCCAAACAATTAAAATAACAAAAATGGCCAGATTCATGAAAGTAGGCAGTGACAGCGCTACGCCACGCAAAATGTGCAGCACAGTAAACAGTTATTAATAAAGTCACTGTGGTGATGATTAGCACACCAGTGTCTTTTTAACACTGTGTAATTTTCACCTGTGTGCTGGGCAAGAACCAATTAAAACACACCTGTATATGAGGTCATACATATTAAAGACTCATGCCAAGTGAAGCTCCAGTAAGAAAGGATCCAATGAAAGAGATGAAAACCAAAAATAAAAATAAAGAAAAAGTTAATTTTCAGAAACAGAACAACGGATTTGAAGGGAAGAAATGCCGACAAATAATAGTAAATTGTTTGGCAAATATGCTTTTAATTTTTAATCAAAAATAAAAAAATAAAAATTATATTTTAGAATGTAAGATTTCATTTCTCATTGGTAATAATTTAAACCGTTCCCCAGTTCATTATAACTGCAGTAAATAAACATTTAATTCTTGTTTTCAAGAATGAGAGGGTAAAGGCTAAAACTGCTTGCAATAAACTCAATTGACACATGTAATAGAATCTCAATAAGTCACATTACTCTTCACTTATTTGCATTACACACTAAACACATTATCCACAAACAGCATGGGATTCATGAGGCATTGAATTTGATGCAGGAAGAAGAAATCATTTTCAGTAAAGTGCCAGTTGAATCTGCTGATTTTAAATCCGTCTCCAGCCAGTTCCCTTTCTTTCTCATGTACTCGCCTCACCAGCAGTTAGAAGGTTTACTGGGGAAAATTACCAGCAGAGTAGTTCATGCGTTATTTTTTGATTGATTCTGTCATGTTAAGAATCACTACACACACATGTAAATGATGGAAACGCGCAGCCACACCTCACATAGTGCAAGAGGTAAAACACTCCACTGATCCTCATTTGTAAGGGAGCAAACATGTTATCTTTACACTGCTTCACATCTGCTATTTGTGGTGCCCTTCATGAATGTGGCCTATAGTGTCTAGCATGATGTCACAGTATGTGCTGCCTACATGCTGCTAAAAATGCACCCTCAACCTTCCGGCGCCCCTGGAGCTTATTTATGCAGGCATGAGCCTATTTTGTATGTATTTGAGTCTATGGAACACAGAGTTTGGGCAAAAGAGAAACATCTGGAATAGAATGGATGCTAAATAAATCATGAGCTATTACTGTCATTTCATCAACTTGTTAATTCTGTCTTGAGAGCTATATACAGTAAAACCAGCTGACAGTTGTGTATGTCATTACAGACCTCATTATAAATTATTAGCGCACAAACCTTGTAAGTCGCTTTAAAGTAGTCTCTCAATGTCTGATTAGCTGCTAGCACAACCCAAATTTCCACTAGCATCCCTATAATTTTGTTAGCACTAAGCTAGCAGTGTTGTATTCAATTCAGTTCACATCCAGTTTTATTTGTAGAGCAGCTTTACAGGAATCCAGGTCTGGTCAACACCAGATAGCAAAACAGTAAGAGAACAATAAGAGATATGTAACAGTGAATAAGGAGAAGACTGTTGAATATACAGTGATGTTTCATGAGGAAAAAAAAACCAAAGTGATCAAAGGGCAGAAAGTATAATCACATTTCATGCCATGATCTTGAATATGGACATGTGATGCTTATAAGTTGCATAGAACGGGCATAATTTTATAGTTTATGTAGACGTACAAGAACTCAATAAATCAATGATCAATCAATTCACTTTCTTTGTTTAACTAGTAAAAATCGTATCTGATTGGCCTTCAAAGGAGCTGCAACCTCATAATTTCCATCCACAGGTTGAGGAACTGTGGGATATAACATTGCAATGATGATCAACATTATATGACCTTTTCACTGACATTAACTTACTGTGAACAATATATGGCAAATACTGGTGTCACTGTTTCCAAATACTGAAGAGAAATCTAATAACAAAGAATATAAATAGCTTTCAATAATGTTTTTGTATGTCTGTTGCTCGTTCACACTCTTACTGTGAAGTTACACTAGTTGGCTAGCAAATATTAATGATTGTCTTACAACTTATGAGGTCTGATATGACTGATCTGGTCATCTTTTTATGTTATGTTAGTCTCTGGGAGCACAGCAAAAGCAGCGCTGGGTTAGAGCAGCATCAGCGCCTCCCCCAGGTCACCTCCTGCTATCAGTATATTGTGTATGAGAATTACTATAAATGATTTGAACCAGTTGTGTACATTTATTTGGGAAAGGTGGGCTAAATAACATTTGTGGTGGTGGGCGGGCAGGGGGCTAAAATTGGCATAGTAATGCCCCTGGTCATTGCATCTTGTGGCACTGTCATTACACCTAATGGATGAAAATAGAGTTCACCTTTAAATGAGTCAAATCAACTAATGCATATAATTAACACCTTTGCTTTGTCCTTCTAGGTTCTGCAACTGTTACTACAAACACAGAATCAGCAACAGATCTGTGAGTAGCTCACTTCTGCAAGTGGTTTTAGTCTTTAGAGATTCATTTCCATACTCCATTATCACCCCCACCCCCCACTCCCCCCTTGGCTTTTTACAGAAGAACAACTGGCTCTTCTTCAGTAATGACTTCTGAGAATGTAAATAGCAGCCCAGGAAAGAGTGGGAGAGAGCAAGATGGGTATGTTCTGAAATGCTGATGAACTGAATTTTTATTGATTCTGCTGAAATGATGATTTTATTAGTCAACAGCATGTGTACTCTGAGGAACTGATTTAGTAAGATCCCACATAAGTAGTACTAATTTGCATGTGCAGTGCAGTACATTGTGTGAGCAGTTAGTGTTCATTTTGCGGGTGACTTGTAAATGATAATTGTGGAGATGACAACAAAATGATGGAGAAAACATTGTATGTAAATGAAGCTTTTGAATGTGCAAACTGTGGCAAGGTTGGATGTCAAAGAGTGTCAGCTGAAATATAAGTTTAAAAAAGTTTAATCAACAGAGACTGGTAAGGTGAAAAAAGAATAAATAAACAAAAAAGTAAATGATAAAACTTTGGTAAATAAAAACAGGTTCATTTATGGAGTGACAAGATCAGAACTATTCAGTTGCAGGACGAGGTTAATTCAGTTTAGTTCATTAATTATACTGATTTTATGACAAGAACAAAATTTACTTACAGTAGGCCTACAGAGAATATCCTACCACATGTATTCATTCATAGAAGGAGTGATCAGTAGCAGCTATGTATTTACTCTAGAATGAGCAGGTCGACCAGAAATCAATTTAAGGGCATTTTAAATCAGAAGAAGGAACCACGCTGTTTCTGCAGGGCTTCATTTCTGAAATGCTCCAGTGCTATCAAGGTAGTCTTTTACATCTGCGTACACAGCAGGCATAGTCATGCTGCAGGTTCGTGCAGCAAGCAGTGCCACTCTGCAGGCTACATGCTGGAACTAAAAATGGGTCATCATTGGATCTTCTAGTGAGACAGTATTTTAAAACATATGTCCAGATCAACAAAAAAATGGTTAATAATAAAGTCTGTGAGGTGAGCTGAAGAGGAGAGTGCACCAGAGAGGACCAAGTATCCTGAATGATCTGAAGAGATTCTGTAAAGAATGATCTTAAATTCCCTGCTCTGTGTTCTCCAATTTTAAAAGATGTGAGTAACTAAGTGCTGTTTTATTGGCAAAAGCAGGTTGTACAAATTATTAAATGCAGGAGTGCAATTAATGTGTAATGTGGTGCAAATCTTATATTAGAGATTATTTTTTTTTTATTTTACCTTTATTTAACCAGGGTAGTCACATTGAGATTAAAAATCTCTTTTACAAGTGAGCCCTGGCCAAGAAGGCAGCACACAAAACAATCAACAAAGAAACAACAACACGACCCCGACCGACAGAATCAAATCAGGGTCAAAACCAAATTAAAAACAAGAACAAACAGAATGATACAGTTTTTAACAATCATCTTAAATTCACTCGAGTTTCAAATGTTTTTGCAGATCATTCCATGCAGATGGAGCACTGTTACTAAAAGCTGCCTGGCCGTATTCAGAACGTCGGAACATCCAGCTGAATGTAACTACTAGAACGTAAATTTTATCGAGACTTATTTGTTGATATAAAAGCAGACAGATATATTTAGTGATTGTATGATGCAAAATACAAGAATCAGGATGTGTCTGCTTCAGGTTCAGTGAGTCCATCAAATATTAGCAGTGCTAACTTACTCACACCATGTGTTTTCATTCACTGCAGGAATGGAGAGATCCTGTTGGTCTGGGTTCTACTGGCTGTAGGTCTTGGACTGCTGCTGATTCTGTTCAGCATTATAATCTGTGTATTAAGAGAAAAGTTCAGTAAGTAGTCTTGTTTTCTTGAAAGACTTTTAAAGTTGCTTTTGAAATGCTTCTATTAAAACTTTTTAGAGGATGAAAAAGGATCAGCGTTTAAAACATACATGGTACAGAAACCAGGCAGCACAATCACAGGGTTAAAGAGCTTATTTAATCACCATTAAAGTGCCCTTATCATGGAAAATTGTCTTTTCCTTGCTTTTTTTTTAAATAAAAGAAATTGATGTAGTATGTAAACATTGTTAAAGTTTCAAAACATACTCATCACTTCCCAATCCATACAGTCCATATATGGAATCTAAGCCACAAAATCAGCCTGTTTTGAATTCACATATATGCATTGTGCAATATACATACATACATACATACATACATACATACATACATACATACATACATACATCATCTAAACCGCTTATCCTTCTGGGTCACGGTGGGGTGCTGGAGCCTATCCCAACTGTCATTGGGCGGAAGGCAGGATACACCCTGGACAGGTCGCCAGTCCATCACAGGGCAGACAGACATACACATTCACACACTCACTCACTATATATATATATATATATATCCTGCCTTCCGCCCAATGACAGCTGGGATAGGCTCCAGCACCCCACCGTGACCCAGAAGGATAAGCGGTTTAGATGATATATGTATGTATGTGTATATATCCACCTGTTCGGCCTACAGCAGATTGTCCCTGCGCTTTCACACTGAAGTTATAAGGACCATTTAAGCCCACACTGCTTTCTGAATAAGGCACAATACATAGTAACCACTCAGATTAAAGGAACAGTGACAAAATAGCCTGTTTAATTTTAAGGGATAAATAAAGGTTGTAAAATGGTCATATAAAAACAAATCATGTCTGTTTTTGGTACATAAAACCACAAAAATATTATAAGTGGCCATCAGAGGAAAATATAAAAAGTAAGCAAAATGTAAAATATGGGCCCTTTAGTAAAGAAGGTAATTGTTAGTTAATCTATTTTATTACTATTAATATTCATGCTGTGCTTTCATGTATATTATGAATGTGTTATTTAATAGCTTTAAGTAGAAAAGTAATTCATCAACAATGCTAATCTGTATCATTTGCTTTACTCACTCTCTCTCTAACAGAAAAAAGTGAGACGGAGACCAGAGAGAGGAGCAACGACACTGCAGTTCAGACGGTTAGTATTGTGGTTAATGGGAGGCATCATGCAGTCTGGTTAAATATTGCTTTCAATGTTGGAGACAGGAGACAGGAGTTACTGTGATGGTCTCATACACTCTCAAATATAAAGGTATCAAAAGGGTTCTTTATGTGATGCCATAGAAGAACCATTTTTGTTTCCTTTCTTATGGACAGTTCTTTAGAGAACCAAACAGTGTTGCTCACACTGACAAATCTCTGTTTCAGTAGTGCTTCTTCAGTGGTGTCGCACAAAGAACCCTTTGTGGCTCCTCTTTTTTCAGAGTACATTTGTAGTTTTAAACATCCATTTGTGTTTAGAAAATTGAATGATACATTTAATTAATGCAAGATTAGAATTTTTATTTTAATCTAGGTTTAAACTTAAAATGAAAAATTACTTATTTGTGTGTGTGTGTGTGTGTGTGTGTGTGTGTGAGTGTGTGTGTGAGTGTGTGTGTGTGTGTGTGGAAAAAGTCCTCTACTGGTGAAGTGACATACAGTACTGTGATTAAAAAATAGAAAAGGATAGGATTTTATTCTCTACACTCATTTGCATGTAAATAAATCACCTTAACGTTCAGCTATTATTATTGAGTTACTCAGAGTAAATTATGTCCACAGTCTTCATCTGCACTGGAACAGGAACATGGTGTGGTCTACAGCTCTGTAGTCACAGCTACCAGAAACAAAACTGTAAGTGAACTTCTAAAAATACAGTAACAGTTCATTGTTTTAACCATGACAGTTTAAGTTGGTTTAAAGCTGCAAGTGATTATGATAAATATTTAGTTCAGATAGAAGTTCCTCAGCCTTAGTGAGCATTTAGTTTAGCTGGAGAAAGAGCACTCGGGGTGGTTGGAATCAGAGATCCTTCTTTATTTCTAAAGCTGTTCCATTTTTTCCAGCTCTCTCCAGCAGGTGGAGATGATGGGGTGATCTACAACTCTGTGGTCAGTAATTAAGGTGTGAGAGTCTCAGACTGTGGTAGTGAGTTTACTGAAAGCCAAAACTGTGTTGATGTAACTCTTTGTTCAAGAAGAAAATATCAATGAATTAATTCACTCGCTTGTTTTCTTTTTTATGTTAGCCAGCTATTTAATTTTTCTGTTATTTTCTTGATTGCAGGTGTAAGCAGATGTATTTCTGGACAAAACTACCTGAGCAAGTCAATTACAGAGAGGACACTGTAACAAAAGTGACCTGATAAATGGATACAGACTCTATATATTATATAGCATGTTAATTTTCTTTTTTCATCCATATTGCTTTACTTGTAAATAACATGTGGGCTACTGAAACAACTCATACTCTTATTAGGATTCAAATTTAAGCTCTGGAATAAAAAAACATTTTTCAATTCAAAAGTACTTAATGTATCACTTTTTGACTTACCTACACTGCCATACATGTATTTCTCAGAAATATGTTGAAACTCTGTAACCTTTTTTTGTGAATGCCCTGGTGGATCATTCCATGACAAGAGTGCCACTTGAGTCTACAAGGTTTGATGGCTTGTATGAGAGACAGAATCTGCTAATAAGTGTTTTTTCTATCATAAATCTGCACTTTGTAAGTTTTAGTGGTTTGGAGACCTCTCTGGTGGAAATGGGTTATTACGGACAATATGCAGAAGAACATTCGTAATGTTTTTTGTGCTTTTGGACCCCTTTGGACCCCAAGCTGATGAATCTGAAGATTGCAAGCACTTTGACAGAGTATTCAAAGAGAAGTCAGTTTTGTTGAAGGGTGTGTCTTCCAAGGATGTGAGTGGATTTTCTAATATTGCCATCAAATCTTCATCAGTATAATGTTAATTTTGCTTGTAAACTTTAAACATCAAGTCAGACCTTTTTTTAAGCTGTGTGTGTGACATAATTTACATAATATGTAAAGACATAGCACTAACTAAAAGTAGCATTATTAAGTAAGAAGTAAAAATATTTATTTAGTAATAAATATTTTTTTTAATTCACCAAATTAACAGTTTTTATTACAAGTGGATAACAAATGTTTATGGATTTTTTTGTCTTTTAAGTCAATTATATTCCATTTCAAATATTACTGATATGTAAATTATATTACCATTTAAGCCTTGCCATGCTCAGATGTACCTGAGATGTACTATTAATAGCACATATATGAATTCATCATAAAATATTAATTTAACCAAAATATAATAATTTGTGTCCTTGAGTTTTGATTTGCACTGTCACACCAGCTTCTATAAACATGACATGCATAATAAGCATAACGTCCACACATCACAAAAATAGGCAGAGAGAACAGCTTTCTATTAATTTTTTACAATATTCACAGAAAAGTAATGTAAGTAATGTAAACTGAGGTCTAAGCTTGTTAACAGGCAATTGTAGCAGTTTTGCATGAAATATTCCACCCTGTCGTATTCGCCTCCGTTACAAGTTCAGTGTAATGGAACTATAATTATCATTGTTATTTTGTACAAAAATATAAAACTGATTACTGAGTTGAGGAAATCTTTTTTGGGTAGGAGTAGTATGTAATTTAAACTACTGAGGACAAAAAAACTTTGATTTCTTGACGAAAAAAAATCCAAATTATCGTGTCTGTTTGGCACCAATGTCATGGAATGACTCTGGTACCCATCTTGGACCCTTCATTCAAACTGCGCTCCTGCAGAATGTAAAAATACAGGCCATTCAGAAAAAAGACACACAACCTTTTCGGCAACATGAAATTGCCCAAGTGTCATCATGTTCCAATTTGATTCATTTGTTAAACATTCTAATAACCTAATAATCACTATTTTCTGTTTTATCATGTTATTAGACACAGACTGCCTCCTGATTGAGGTGTGACGAAGTGTGAAAAATATTAGTGAACGTAACGAAATGTACGCTTAAAAGTGTCTCAACACTCTTAGCAGTTCAATACTTCATAGTGAGAAGGGGCAGCACACTGTCCTGTGAGAATAATCCTGAAATTTGTATCCTACTGTTCACTTGTGTGCAACATTTTTTAATAATCCAATTCCAAATCCCAAAAACACAATCGGCTTTTGTGTCCAGACGGGTAGCCCAGATCACAGATGATGTAGCCTCAAAGTAAAGGTAAAGTCAAATCAAATCTACAGATTGATTGTGATGTGGACAGTGGCTGACCGCTCCATACTTGAAGCTTTGGCACATTTGAGTTAGGTATTTTAGCTTTTAATCCACTATTTTTATATTCTAGAAATTCAATCAAAATATTATCAATGCTCATAGAAAAAAACTCTGAAATGTTAAAAAATCAAATTCTAAAATTAGTTTCACTTGTAGGAATTATGTTCTAGCATATACATTTACAAATCTATAAATTTAGCTCTAACTGAATTGTCAAATCTAAGCATGTTGGAATTGCAATGATTAAAAATTGTACGAGTTCTGATTGATTTATTACAAGTGAAAATTTTATTATTAAACATTTATTTGATTCTTAAATTATAAATGTAAAGTCGTATTATTACATGAAAGAAATAAAGTTTAATTTTTTAATTAATTAATCAATTAAGCTTTTATATGCTTCAGAGGCTACTGGGGACTTTACTGGGAATATAAATATATACACACACACACACACACACACACACACACACTATAAAGGTGCACTTTAATTACAAATTCTACAATTACTTTTCTACCTTTTGAAAAACAGGGTGAAAGGGGTCGCACAAAGTTCAGTGTGTAACAGTAGAACTACTGAGTGCTGCTATATGTTAAGTGAAGCTGATACTGATACACACACACACACACACACACACACACACACACACACACACACATATATATATATATATATATATATATATATATATATATATATATATATATATATATATATATATAAATCTATTTCTACAAGACTTCTTCAAGAATTCTTCTTGAAAGCTGCTATTGCCCTCTATTGGGCAGTTTGGATAATTACAGCTAGAATTAAATAGCTGTGATCTGAAGAAGATTCTGCAAAATAAACTCTTCAGAACTAGAGATGTTCCACTCAACTATATTACCAAATTAAAGGTTGGAACACCTCTATATTTCTGTGTGTGTTTGTGTGTGTGTTTGAGTGTGTGAAAGAGAAAGAGCGAGAGAGATATGACATTAACCTCTGTAAATCCGCTGTAAACAACTCTGTGGTAAGTTCCTTTACCATATCAAACCCCTCTGAATGACTATTTACATCTCAACCATTTATTTACACACAGACTAATCACTGGAATTCCCTTTTAAACCATGGTGGGATCTGTGTGATCAGCCTCCTGCTGTCCTGATTGAGAACTGCCTCCATTATGGTAAACCACTGCTTTAAGCTGATGTTTTACCTTTGCAGTGGTCCTCCAGAATTACTGGTGAATTCTGAGCAAAAATGACTACAAACTGAGGTATTTCTTGTTACTAGCTTGATTTTGCAGTAATAATACAAAATACATTGGAAGAAATTGAAAGAAAAAAGTCACACAATAAACCTTTTTTTCTCAGATGTATCACAATTTTTGGCACCCCTGGAAATTCTCATCAATAAAATCTATTTTTTACATTTTTCTGTTCTATTCTAGTACAGAATAAACAGTATCGATTACTGTAGTTGTGCAGCTGATGCACAGATATACCTGACTCTTTCACCAGATGATTACAGCCCAGTGGACTCACTTTGTTAATGCATGGAACACACAAATAATTGGATGATGCACAATTTCATTCTTTTAAATAAGGACAAAACACAGATTATTGTGCTTGGCAACAAAGAAAGTCTTTTCTTTTAAAAAAAAAAAATAGAGATATAGATAATCAAAGGTTTAGTGCCTCAACAAAACCTAGGAAAACCTACTTTTCATCTGCCGCAGGGTGGACTACTGTAATGGTCTCTTAACTGGACATCCCATAAAGAGAACAGTGCATAATTATTCCAGTTTTAAAATCTTTACACTGGCTTCCAGTTAGTTACAAAATAGAATTTCGTATCTCTGATATGTTTCCAGAATATAAGCAGAGTAGGTCTTTTGGATCCATGGACCCAGGACAGCTAGTAGAGTCCACACTAAACACAGTGAAGCAGCGTTTAGCGGGTATACTCCATACAACTGGAACAAACTGCCAAAAGATCTTAGACGCGCCGCAAATGTAGCGTTTTTTAAATCCAGGTTAAAAACATGCCTCTTATCATGTGCCTTGAGCACTTTATTAAATAATGCACTTTATTTTTAGCCCTTTCTCTATCATTTCCTTATGTTTTTGTCCCTTATGTACTTCTTTTATTTATTTGTTTGTCATTAAGCTATTGCACTTTATCTTTTTAGCATTCTTTATTTTTCACTCTTAAGCACTTTGTCGTTATTTTTCCTTCCGATTTTTTTTTGCCTTATTTATGTAAAACACACTGAATTGCCTAAATGTGTGAAATGTGCCATATAAATAAACTTGCCTTGCCTATAGTGAGTCCCAAAACCAAAAACATCCTTATGGCTTCCTGTATACTATAGGTTCCAATTTAAATTTTTTAAAGTTGTTTTTAAGTCAGTAAATGGTGTGGCACCGTTCTATATAGGAGGTCTGCTTCAATTCTATCCTGCCATCAAGTCCTTGAGGTCATCAAATCAGCTGCTACTGACTGTGCCACAGTCTACCCCTGGACATTAGGTCTGCATTGTCTATTGATGCTTGTAAGTCTAGATTAAAAACCTATTTTTATCAGCTTTTGTCTCTGTAAACTGATCATTGCTGTATTTTTGTTTTGTTATACATTAGTTGTTGTGCTATCCTGTCCTTTTAAATATGTTCTCCTTGTACAGCACTTTGGGTTAAAATGTGCTTTATACATACTTACTTACTTACAAAATATATGATTAATTGATCAATAATAAATTAAGAAATTAGGTTCTTTATGTAAGTAAGTAAGTAAGTAAGTAAAGTTTATTTATATAGCGCTTTTTACAACAGGTGTTGTCACAAAGCAGCTTTACAAGGAAATCAGCATTACAGAAAGAAATCCGGGTCCAAACCCCTCATGAGCAAGCCAGTGGCGACAGTGGCAAAGAAAAACTCCCTAGGGAGAAACAGGAAGAAACCTTGAGAGGAACCAAGACTCAGAAGGGGAACCCATCCTCCTCTGGTCGACACCGGATAGTAAACATTGTTAGTATAAAGTATTAAAGTACAAAAACAGGGAAAACAGGTGGAGCAAATGATTAATTTGATTGGTTTCGTTCATGCAGCAGCAGCGGCAGCAGCATCAGCATCAGTGGGGTCAGGTTGTGAGGGTGAGGTTTGCACGGC